ACATATACATATACATATACATATACATATAGATTACACCCCGCCCCCTGGTCCTCCATAACACGGCTCAGGCTCAAACACGAGCATAGACACGGGTACGAGAACAGGTATAGACAAAGACACATGCACATATATACCTTCTGCATAACAGTCACATCATCTACGTGGGATATAATAAGTTATGCGAAAGTACAACTCTTGTTGCTGAAATTGAACCATAAACGCGTCCGACCCGTCTTGAAAAATCTTCAGGCATCCTATTCTGAATAGCTTTTTTCCTTGATTGTCTACTTCTTTCGGCTGCGATTTTCAATTGACATACCAATTGTATTCGATCTAATAGCACAGCAACCGCAAGTTACGTTAGCTGAACTGTGTGTGTTGTATCTAAATAATAACTGTAGGTTAAGGGACTGCCCATAGCCTTCTGTTTCAATTTAGAAGGCTATGGACTTTATTAAATATTTTTAAGTCTTGAGTGGTCAACCGTAGCCTTCTGAAAATTAGACAGTCAACCAATGTTGTGTATAAATAATACACCTAAAAACAATAATACCCATTTTTTTTTCGGTTGTTTTACTGAAATAGTATTAAAAAAGAAGAAAAAAGGTCACCCCCTTTGAAAGAAGGAAAACTAAACCCAGCAGAAGAGTGTGGTTTTTGAAAAAAAAAGTTCTAATGGCCCATAGCCTTCTTCTGAAATAAAACAAATGACCAGCCTATTTATAGATTATTTATACACAAAACAGCTTTTAAAAATATATATAATATAATATTCGTGTATTCGTTGACCTCACACGACAGATAAGCCGGCGCGTTGTGCAAGTAGGATACCAGCACCGAACTAACGTGTACATAGGCGTAGGCATATGCATATGCGTATGCGTATGCGATACTTGTACACCTGTGTGCTCTCGGTAAGAGTATTAAATAGTCTAATCACCAGCTGTACCATTTCTGGTAGAGAGGTATGCGATGTAACTGCCTACCTGACCCTTAATATAAACTGTCGTTTGTGAGAGTGTTGCGTATCATTAGTGATAGGCTGAGACCAACTACGAAATCAAATCAAAGGAGTCGAGGCACAGATCCTCAACTGCCCACACACGTGTAAGCTATGCCAAAGGAACATCCATGACATCCGCGCGAATACGTTGTCTATACAAAAAGTGCGAGCTATGCTGCCGCCGCCCACAACACAGACTTCATTTACTCTTGGATTAAACTCTACATAACAGCTGCCGAACACTATGTCCCAGAAATCAGCTATGCCTGCGGTTTCACAGTCAGTTGACGGATTCTTCATTCCACATAACATATCTGTTGTAGGCGATGGTAGTGCGGGTGTAGATGGGGCGCCACCGTGCAATCGCAGCTTAGATGATATGAAGGACGTGTACGAGACCCAACGCCTCAGTTCACAGCCCTCAGAGAGACTGTCGGGGACATCACGTAGGTTGTCAGCACAACGTAAGTGACTTGGGACTTCTATATGTGCCAGTGTATTCAAGTGTGCTTCGGCTCTATATGGAGCTGCTGGTGGGATTGAGTTTGCGCGAACTACGAGCACACCCGATATAGCAATTGAGCGATATATATAGCATATATTTTTTTCTTCACATTTGTGCAAAGTGCATCACTAGAATTATTCATGTAAGTTTCCACCTCACTAAATTTAAGTTATTGTATATTGCCATTCTACTAAATTTAAAAGTTTAACACATTTGCACACATGTACATACATGTACACACCCCCTC